ATGTTTATAGCAGCATTACTGAGAGTGGAAATAACCCAGATGTCCATCAACTGATTACTTGATAAAATGTGATATATACGTGTAATGGAATATTTGACAATAAAAAGAAATGAAGTCCTGAGAAATACTAAACATGGATGAACCTTGAAAACATGCAAGTATAAGAAGCAGTCACAAAAGACCACATATTGCATGATTCCATTTATATGAAATGTCCAGAATAGTCAAATCTGTAGAGACAGAAAATAGTGGTTTCCTAGGGCTGCCGGGGTGGAGAGGGACTGCTCAATGTGTATGGGTTCTCTTTCTGGGGATGGTTACAGTGTTCTAAAATTGATCACGGTGATGGTTGCACAATTCTGTGAATCTACTAAAAACTGTTGAATTACACACTTTGAACTATATGTGAATTACATCTCAGGAAAGTTGTAAAAAAATGGATTTTATCGCCTCTCCAAAGTCATAGAAGTGCTTCAAAGTTTCCTTTATACCTCACACATTTAGGTAGACTCTGCACTGCTTATTTCCTAGTTGGTCCAATTACAATTCTTTAATGCATATGCTATTGCTAATATATAATTTAGAAATAGAAAGCTTGCTTTCATCCTGTGCATTGTTTTTCACCATCTCATCCCCAGAATTCCAAGCTTGGCATACTGCAGAAGTAAGAATAATCTTGTTCTGATTTGCAAGTTGAATGTTAGTTTAAGAACATCTGACAGTGAAACCTCACTCTTTTGAAACCTAGCCACCATGAACAAAAGTGGAGGTGATACAGCAAATATGGAAAGTGCATCCACTAAGGCTCCTTCCTTTTATTCACTGGAAAGCCATCAGGGCCCCTCCCAGCCCGTTTGCTCTTTATTTTCCGTAGTATTCTAATAAGCGAATCGCTGATTGCAAAGTCCCTGCAAGGATAGAAGCATCGGGTTAGGATAGGTGAATTGTGCGCCCCCCACCCCTCTTCCCCAAGTTCATAAATTGAAGCCCTAACCCTCAATGTGATGATCTTTGCAGCTGGGACCTTGGGATGTAATTAGGTTTAGATGAGGTCGTGAGGCCCTCATGATGGATTAGTGCCCCTAGAAGAAGAGGCACTAGGGAGCTTGCCACCCCCTCCCTCCCTCCTTCCCCGCCCCATCTAAGGACACATTGAAAATGTGGTTGTCTGCGTACGCAGAAGGGAGCTCTCAGCTCTCAGCGGAAGCAGACCATGCTGGCATCTTCATCTTGGGCTTCTCACGAACTGAGAAAATAGATTTGTGTAAGCCGTGGTATTTCGTTGTGGCAGCCCGAGCTGACTGAGATTTGGGGAAAAAGGGGGTATTCTCAAGCCTAAGAGTGACGGAGGAAACAATGAGGAAAGGGGCACTTGCAGGCTACTTGAATTCTGTACAGTGGAAGGAAAATAAAGCGTCTAGGCTCCCAGAGTTCATAGGCCACGGCATGGTTTATGAAGTGATCTTCAGAATGGTGACCCCCGTTCATTAAGCAAGGGTCGGATTGTTTTCCGTTTAAGGTGGTAAAAGGTTTTAAATCTGTACAAGAAAAACTTCCATCCAAAATAATACACATTATTCACTTTTTGAAAGTTAAAATGTTTTCTGCTGTCCAGAATGACTCACGCCTCATAATTTCCAGATGCCTTTTTAAGTTGTTACTACAGTTCTTATTTTTCAAAGCAAAGAGGGTGAAGGTAGATTTTTTACTTTCCTTGTCCTAAAATTGTATTTGAGACAGGACATAAGACCCGTGTCTCCTTTCCCCTGGGGATGAATGATTTCCACCTTTTCCAAGTGTTCTCCAGGGGTTGGAGGGAGGCATGCAGAGGTGCTCTGCTAAGGTTAGGTTTATGGTGTGAGGCCTGTCATAAATGAGCTGTGAGCCTTTGCCTCTCAGTTATGCTAAAAGTAAACATAGGAAGCTAATTCTAGCCCACTCTAGGACTCGGAGACTTCCTCAGTAAGTTTTCAGCCTTTGCCTGTCTCCTTTAGCCTTCAAAATGAAAAAGCTGACAGGTAACAGTAATTAGAGCTGTTGACCTGGTTTGTGCCGTGCTGTCTTTCAGAGATGATCCTCTCCAGCATCGCCTTTTACTACCAGCGAGGCCCCTTTAGTAAAGCTATTCTGAAATGAACTTGGATTATAGGACCTGCCTGCTCGCGTAATCTTTAAAACTGCATATTTCTGTTCTGGAAGCAAAAATAAGCAGATTACCTAATTTCTAAAATACATAAGTACCCGGGCCTTGGCAAACTTAGAAAACTGAAAAACAGAAACCGCCTCTACTGGTGTCTGTCGCCCTCCCGAGGGGGGCAGTAACGGCCCCGCCATCCTGCTGCGTGCCTCTGGAGAAGTCGCGCTCTGGGCACCAGCGGGGCGGCCTATGTGCCGCTCACCCCAGGGTTCGTGCGTAAGTGGCAGTTACCATCTGATCCCTTTCACTTCCCATACCCTGGTCCCACCATGGACGTCCCGGGCACAGAGGTAGAGCGCAGAGCAGGCTGTGCTGGGAGTCCGCACACCAGGGGCTCGGTCCCGATGTTGCCTCTCATTTGTTCGGTGAGCTCCATCAAGTCACTTTCTGGGTGTCCACTTCATCTGTCAAAGTGACCCCCCCCCCCAGCCCCTTCCGTCGTCCTCTTAACTATTTCTTTCATATTTCATCTATTCTCAGATCACTGTTACTAGGCTTTTGGTAGAAGATTGAAGTCAGGTTTTTTTTTTTTTTTTTTAATTTTATTTTTAAGTCGTCTTTACACCCAGTGCAGGGCTGGAAATCATAACCCCTAGACCAAGAGTCACACGCTCCACCCACCGCGCCAGCCAGTAGGCCCTGAAGTTGGGTTCCTCACTTTAATGAACAAAAGAATGGCCTGAGGAACTTAAAGATAGGTTCGAAGCCCCAGGGATTCTGATTCAGGTAGAATGTTTTTAAACAAGCTTTCCAGAGGATTCTGGTGCAGATACCTGCAAAAATATACTGTCCTAATAGGCATGGCATTTTTCTTAGTACTTTATCACGGAGAGGCTGAGAGCCAGATACTTTATTTTCACCTCTTATAAATCGTAAATATGATTGTGTATGCAGTGTAGTTGTAACAGAACTAGGTAGTAAGAAAAAATTGATCTCCTTTGGAGTTGGTTTGAAAGCCTTAAAGGTTTTGTTTTGAGATGCCTACATGTGCTAATGGATGCCCATCTGAGAACATTGCTTCCATTCTGAGACACTGAGTCATTCTGTCCTGTGACAGGTTTTGTAGTACCAAGAGGAGAATATGTTCAGCACTTGATTCTGGTTGTAAAAGCAAGGATGCCAGGGGGCAGGGGGCAGGGGGCAAATTGGAGGGTAGAGTCTCTCTTGGCCATTTTCTCACCTAGAAACCACTAGTTTGACTCTTATTTTCCATCTAGTTGGAAAGAAATGACTTACTAGCATTTGCATGAAACTGTCATGGTACTACTGTGATATGGATCCCGAGAAAACCGCTGAGTTTAATCCATTTTCCAGCTACTTAGCATAATGTCGGTATCATCTCTTTAGTGTAAATGTTCATCTCCTTCCTTCTTTGGGAAGACTCCAGAATTTCCATTCTTCTTGAAGTAGGTTCCTTGCTTTTTTCCACCCGCTTCCTCACATTTCAGGTAGATTGGTTAGCTGTTTTGTTTTTCTCTTTCCGGGGATGTAGCTGTCACATGTTACTCGAGGAAATCTGCCTGAACCAGACTCTCCTTATGACAGGAGTTTTTTCACTTGAGGATCTACAAGCATTGACCAGCAGGCAGTAGTAGTATTTAGATTCTCCCTCTTTAAGTGGGTAACTTTGTGCACAATCTAATTTTCATATACTACTGCTTTTAACTTACATGCCTGAACCTTTTCCTTCTCTGGATTTAATCTTAGTGTGAGCAAGATGCCTCCATCTGACCACATCTCTTTGTTCTGTGGGCAGGGGTGCTGGGTGGCCATTCCCCCTTTCTCCCCTCCTTCAGCAGACATCACTGAATGGTGGCCATGTCCTCGATCACTGAGCCAGCTGTGCTCCCAGGGTCTGGAGCAGAGCCCCAGGCGTCCGCTACACTAAGCCAACGTCAAGCATCTCTAAATTGTTGCTTAGTTTTAGATCTGGTTTATAGCCATTTGTACCTTGGGCTGACCATGACAGAAGAAATAGCAGCGGTAGATTTTCTTAACTATTCGTCAGGTCAAATGCAGTCTTCAGAAGGATCGTTGTAAAACACTCTGGTAGCACTTACTGGGATGCAGATTGTTTTGTAAAATAGAGAAGGGTCCAGCTTCTACCACAGCTCTGTCTGGGAAGAACATTGGTCTCAGTGCCTTTGGAAAGCCTTCCACTTAAAGGCAGCGATCTGTCTATTGGTGATTCTTTCGCTTGTTTGTTATTTCATTTAAAACTTTCTAAATGGTAGAACGAAGGTCACATGGAACTAGGACCTAGCCCTGGCATAAGGAAGTCGCAGGCTGTGGAACGGCAGATCGACCAGCAGGTGACCTATAGTAGGTGACATGTATGGGCTAAGATGGGGGAAAGAATTTTTTTTTTTTTTTTTAAGGTTTTCCATAAAGGAAGCGATGTTGGGGCTGAGCCTTAAAGATGAGTGTGGAAGAGGAGGAGAAGGCACTCCTCCAGCAGAGGGGCCTGGTCCCAGGCAGGGAACAGAAAGCTTATCCCTTTTTCTTGAACTGTGAGCCCTCAAGGGTTAGGTTTAGATGGAATTTAAAATAAATTCCCGGTAATATTATATATATATTTTTTTAAGATTCTGTTTCTTTATTTGACAGAGAGAGACACAGCAAGAGAGGGAACACAAGCAGGGGGAGTGGGGGAGGGAGGAGCAGGGAGCCCGATGTGGGGCTCGATCCCAGGACCCTGGGATCACGACCTGAGCCGAAGGCAGACGCCCCCCCCTTTTTAAAGATTTTATTATATGTTGATAGCCCCTTAATTTGTTTCCGACTCTCGAACCCTGTTTTCCAGGAACCCGAATCATTTATGATCGAAAGTTTCTGTTGGATCGTCGCAATTCTCCTATGGCTCAGACCCCGCCCTGCCATCTGCCCAATATCCCAGGGGTCACCAGCCCTGGCACCTTAATCGAAGATTCCAAAGTAGAAGTAAACAATTTGAACAACTTGAACAATCATGACAGGAAGCATGCAGTTGGTAAGAGAACTCCAGTTTGCGGGGCTGAGTGGGTAGCCCTGGGGATTCAGATGTCAGTCGGCTACAGGTTGAAAAATTGATGCCTCGGTTACAACCGACACTCATTTATGGGTCTCTAAGGTTCCCAGCTCCCAACACCCAAGGTTTACTGAGATGTTCTGGAAATCCTAGGTTCTAAATCATAAGCGAATCTAATCCGGGAGCAGGGAGAAATCCAAACTCAGGGCATAGGAAGTCATTAGATGAGTCCTTGAGCCAGGCCTCATGTCCTGCCTCGCCTGGGCTGTACTGGACTGGGAGTAACACACAGAACACAGAACAGAACTGAACAGGCCCCATTTCCATTGCCCTTCAGAAATAGACCTGTTTCTTACAAGAAGAATGTCCTTTTTGTGGTACAGGGGTAATAGGGTTTGTTTCCCGCATTTTCCAGGACTGCCTATGATACCTAGACACGCAGACACACACACATGCGCGCGCGCACACACACACGCTGAGTAAGAAGTCCATTCTGTCTCTGTGGAAGCAGAAGAGGGAGTAGAAATGGCCAGCTCCCGAGGTTCGCCTCGGGTTGTACTCCCCGACCTCAGTGCGGGAGCCAGCATTGTGCCTCCTCAAATTCCAAATGAGCTTTTCATGGACAATGTGTTGATTGAGAGCAGGGCCAAAGTTCAGAGCCTCCAGAAGAGTTTGCCGGCATGATAGACGGCAAGGAGCTCCCCCGCTGGGGCCGCCGGCAGCCAGAGGGGTGCTGGGCGATTTTTCACTTGGGTCTTCTTCCTCAGATCCAACTCCTTGTGGGTTGAGTGCCATTCTTTTTTTTTTTTTTTTTTTTTTTTCTCCCAGGTTAAAAAGACCAGCCAAAGCAAACAATTGCTTGTTTTAAGGCCGCAGAGAATGGGAGAGTTTGGATTCTTTTTTGACCCTCATGCAGAGGAATGACAGAGCTGCTTGGCTTTTCCTTTTGGGCTAAACTTTGTCTTGATTCTTCCTAGGGGATGATGCTCAGTTTGAGATGGACATCTGACCGTCCTGCAGGAGCAGCAGGAAAGCAGCAGTGCCGAGGCTGTGTCCACTGGATTGGGCCCATCGGATCAACAGTGAACGGACAGAGGGGCAGCCAGCAGTCCCATTGCAGCCCCCGAGAGCTCCTCTTCCTTCCTCTGGGTGCCAAATGATGCAAAGATGAGCTTCATCTGACCATTTCCCCTCCCTGTTACCTGTCCCCCTTCCCAGTTACACAGAGTCGATCCAAGATCCTTGGCATATTTCCGTAGACCTAAGCAGCCCACAGAGGAAAGCAGTTAAACTCTGGCTTCCGTAGTCATTTTACAGTTGAGAAAATCTGTCCTCCCGCCCACTCCCCATTTTTTAAAAAACCCCAAATCAAATACCAACCTGCCAATAATTGCCTGGCTGGCAAGTCTGGGGAAGTGACACCAAGGTGTGGTGGGTTCAGCATTGTCCGACCCTCTTGTCTGCCCTCCCTGTCTCCCACCTGTGGTTCAGAGCTGCAAGAGGCTGGGTGTCGGGTCTTCACAGCCGTCAGAGGGCAATGGTAATGGAGAGGAGAGCCACTCTCCCTCGTACCCTGAGCTGTTTGTCCTTCGGGCCAGAATGCAGTTTGTACAGCTCTGCTAGCGTCACCCTGCGGCGTTTTCTGAGGTCAACTTCCCCACCTTCCTCCGGCAGGGGTGTCTTCTGTCTTTGATATTCCAACGCCGCTTCCCAGTCCTTCACTTAGCACATCTGTGCAGAAAGGTGTGAGCCCCACCTGAGGGGGGAGTCCTTGGGAGGCAGCAGGGCTCTCCCCTCCTCCTTCCTCCCTGCTAGCGCCCCGTTGCCCGCCGCCATTCCCTTGTATCTGAGCCACCGGGGTGATTCTGCCGCTCCCCGCTCCCGCAACAGGCCCATTCAAGCGACAGGCACTTGGGGGGAGACCTGGTCATAGTGTTCTGCCGGGTGACCCCGAGAATGACCTGGGGAGCGTGCAGAACCAGGTGGGTACTCAGACTCAGTAGTCCTTGCTTTCTAGTCCACCGAGCTTTGGGATATTCATTGTCTCTGATTGCAGTGTCTTATGGTTTGAGTTTAAAAGGTGACTTTCAGAATGCTCTTAGAAAAGAACCAGACTTTTTTCCTTTTAGACCTGCTGCGGCTCCTGGGATAGATAAGCATGGGCTCGGAAGTGGGTTCTCCCCATTGTCTGGCCTTCCCCATCGTACTCGTCCGTCTCCCAGCGTCCGTCCCTCCGTCCCTCCCTCCCACCCGTCTCTCTGCCAGGCCATTTTTCACATACACATCAAAGATACCTCAAGTGTTGGTATCTGATAATATCTCACTCCTCTTATGTGAGGAGTGATCTTTTATTTTTAAGATGACTACAGACCTATTTTTAGATATGTTTTCAATACAATTTTGAGCAGCAACTTTTTAATTACACATCTTCCGGTGTTAGGAAGGTGAGAAATGTCCGTGGGCGAGTCTGCTGTTCCCTGTCACCATCCTTCGTCTCCCCAAGTCCCTGACGAGCTCTTGGCTTCTCCCTCTAGTTTTGGGTGTGCATGTTTGCAGTTTGTAGTGGGTGGTGTGTCAAACTGGACCATTCTGCCTTGCCGTGGCTTGTTTACGAGCGCCTCGTTCTTTCCCTCCCCGTTTGCTTTTTCATGTGCCCCCTCACCCTCCGCGACTATTGACTGGCACAATAATCCCGGGAGAGTGACCCCCTCGTAGAAAGACTAACACCTCTGTCCTCATAGAACGACAAGTAAAGTAGCCGCTGGTGTCCTGGGAATTTCTGGTCGCATTTGGTGCCCTGAACCCTCTCATTAAGAGACCACATCCCAGGGTGAGAGTAACAGGCCAACTGGCTAAGAAAGCAAGCTGTTTGTTTTTCTTTTGAACTATGAAAAGACCCTGTTTATGAACACATTTTAGACAGAAGAGAGGAAGGCTGTCCGAGGAACTTTGTTCTGTTTTCTACTACAAAATGTGAATAGTTCAAAGAGTGAACCTTCTGTGATGGTTGATGTTTCTCAGGAATAAGCTGGATCTCCAAAATTTGGGGGATGCTTTCAGTCTCAAAAATTGATGATCAAAAAAAGTATTTTCTTGTTTGTTTGTGTAATGTATCTCTGTTCTGATTTTAATTAAACTCCCAAATTTTGCTTTCTGTACTCTTGGAAAAAGTTCAGTTGCACCGTCATTTGCATGAGAAGCTTGCTCAGGACCCCTTTGTCTCCTGGGAGCTTGATTCTTTGGGCATGAAACTTCTCGTTCTTCATAGCTGGCTTTGGCATTCGTGGAACCTGGTTCCAACTCCAGGTAGTCGGGCAGTGAGCAGAAGAGCGCCCCTTCTTGATCTTTGTTGCCACACTTGAAAACCTGGCCTTCTCGCTGAGCGGCGGGGAATGGATTTAGAACATGCCAGCTTGAATGATGTCAGGGCGCCATTTTCCCCTGTTCTACCATCTTGGGAAATCTCTGCACACGGTTCCCTAATCGTAGGCCATTTTTCTCGTTTTTGCAGGGAGGGTCAGCCGCATGATACAGCAGCGGCCTGCTCCTTCAGCCTTCTCTGCAAGGCCCTCCTTACTGGTTGCTGTCCTTCTTTCCTGGAGGCCACTGCTGTGAGAGTTACTTTGACCTCCATGAACCTGGATTTTAGAGATCGTTTCACAAGGCAATGGATTAACTTGTAACAGATGACACCTCTGTGCCGTGCCTCACGAATGATTTTTTCAGGGCGCGCCGGATCCCAGAAGAATGAACAATCTCTCCTGGCTTTCTTTTGGGGAGGGAGAACCCTTAGGGGACCATCTGAGTGAGATGGTTCTTAAAATCAGTGATCATTTGCTCTGTTTATGAGGAAACCATGTTTCTGAACCTCTGAGGACAGTCCATCTTAGTGAGAAATGACCTTGTCCTTCCAAATTCCAGCAGGAGACATGCGTTGTCTTGGTCTGTCTGTACAGTATGGTTTGCTGAGACCACCACGTCTTCGTGTTCTGTTTAAATAGCTGAACGTCGTCAGGAGCACCCTGTCAAGCAGCTGGCTTCTTGGTATTGGGCTGTCAAGCCCAGAATTCTGTCGTCCCACCTGTATTAAGTTATCTTTTGCTGTGTGACAGATGACCCCCAAACTAAATCTTGAAAGAGCAAATGTTTTCTGTCCGCTTCTGGAGGTTAGGAATCGGGAAGCAGCTTAGCATGATAGGTCCGGCACGGGGTCACCGGAAGTTGCCATCAGGACGTCGGCAGGGCCTGCAGTCGTCTAGCTAGGGCTGGAGGATCCACGTCTGCGCGCACTCTCCGGGACCTGTTGGTGCATTCTCTGCATGCGGGTCTCTGTAGAGCAGCGCGAGCGTCCTCACACCAGCACAGCGGGCTCCCCCCTGAGCAGGTGACCCCAGGCAGAGGGCAAGAAGGAGTCTGCAGTGCCTTCCATGACGACCTCTGAAAGCACACACCATCACCTCTTCCCTATTGTGTCTCTTAGAAGCCAGCTCCTAAGGCCGGCCGACACACAGGGGAGGGCAGTGACACCCACCTCTGAGTGGAGCAGTGTCAAGGAATGTGAGGATCTATCTTAGAATCACCTCACCCCCAACAGAGGATAAAGTCAGTCCAACAGGGGGTAGGTTAAACTTAGATAACACAGAGATGTTGCTACTGCATCTCCAAACTGAATAGAGGACAGACACTCTTCTCTTTCCCCAAAGTCAGCTGCTGGTTTGGAGAGCGGTGGCAAGAACTGAGGATTCCCAAGAGAATAAAAAGAGCTCTACCTTTGCCTGGCTACCAGCTGTGCAAGGATGCCTCGGGGCGAGTCCCAGGCTGTGTGTGTCCCGGAGACTCAGCACCACGTCTTTGCATCTCCCTGAGCCGGGAACTGAAAGGGAAGTGGATCCTTCTAACTGAGCCACTAAAGCGGACTTAATTGGAGTCAGGGTTGTTAAGGCAAAGGAAGAAATGTGAATGGGGTGTTGGGTTACCCGGCTGAGTAAAAGCTTCACGGTTCAGATTCAGGGTGAAGTAGATGATCGCATCTGGAAGCCCGGCCCCTGTCAGAGTCGGTGTTGGTACCTGGTCTCTGCAGCCCTGCCAGCTGAAACAGGTTTGGGTCGGGTCTCTCACCCACGAAGCCGCTTCTCAATTCAGTAGGGAACATCTGGGAATTAGAAATGTCTGTCGGTGCGTGATGGCGCCTCTAAATCCAGTGTGTATCTTAACTGGGTGCCCACCTCAGCCCGAGCTTCCTGATGGAGATGTGTTCTTAAAGAGAACCGGTCCTGGCTTCACCCTTGACGGAAACTTAGATGAGCCTGGTCAGTCGAACACAGTCCTAGGGAACATCTGCTGGGCGCCTGGCACCCACGCCCAGCCACGTTTTAGAGGCTTGAGACATCTTCAAGATACAAATTCCTGTCCGGCTTTATGCTCTGCCTCTTCTCTGTGGCCCTGCTTGGTGGAGCGTGCCCTTGACTAAGAAGCGTGGCTGCTGAGGCATCCATAAGAACAAGGGCACTTCCTCCACGAGTAAGGACTCCTCTTCACAGCACTTTACCATGACTTGTCTTTTTCCTTCTGCTTTTGAGGCAGAGTCACAATAGATGGTCTTTTGTTTTGTGTTTGGGCCCCCAGCTCTTTGGGACCGTCTGACCGCTTGGGTTCGGACAGCCTCAGAGCCCGCTGTTCAGCCAGCGCACGCTGCGCACCTGCGTGCAATCAAGGCAGCTGGTGTGAGGGCCTCATTGTGCTGCAGCAGGATCCCAGAAACAGACTCTTTACTCTTTCTCCCCTTCTTGGGTATTCGATGGCGTGTCAAGCATCTTGGCTGCTTGAAGCCAGGGCCCCGGGCCCTTTGAGTTCTCCTGCAGAGAGGCGGTCCACTGCCTCGCCATCTGGGCCAGAACTTGCCGGTCGAGGCATGTTCCTGGACAACGGGCGTATAGCAGCTGTGTATTAATCTGCGAAACCCAATCACTTATCCACCCAGGACATCTGGGACCGGGTAATCATTTTAAGGAAGCATGGTTTCTTTGGGAGGGCAGTTTCTGTCTGGACTTCAAAAGGGGTGTGGTTACCGTGTTCTAACCTCTCAGCTTTTAATAAAGGATGAAATCAGATCTTGAGGCAACTGGGTCACAGTTCTTTTGAATGCTTATTCCCCAGGGGCATTTCCTGTTCTAGTAAGGATTTTCCAGTTTAGCACTGAGGTTTCCTTGAGGCTAGCTCAGGAATTTCTTGCAGAAGACTAAGGAGATGGTACAAACTTATTTTTTCAAGCAATCATTCATGTCTCCTTTCCCACCTTCTGGAATTTAAATTTCATTCTCTGGGCTGGTCCGAGAAGTGAATACCTTGTGGCAAAACTAGATTTAAGAGGTCTCGTGAGTTCCTATTCAGATGGTCTGTGGTTTCTCTTTGCTTAACCTCTGCCTGCAGCCTGGACTGACCACACAGTATGGATGGCCAGGGGGAAATACTGCTGAGGTGAAACACAGTTCCCGGGGTACTTAAATTCTTACTCTGCCACCTTTCTAAGTGTAGGGGCCTGACCGATGCTGCAATGCTTGATAATCATGTGGCCACCCCGAAATTTCCAAAGGGAGCTCTCGCCGGTGCTTACCCCCCAAATTCCTGGACGCTTCTAACAGAGAGAGTTCCATGAATCTAGCCCAGAATAGCCAGTCTTGCCCCCGGTGTATAACCTTCCTCTCCACCTTAATCTTTAAAAACAAAAAACTAAGCCCAGGCCAAGGGTAATTTTTACTTGAAACCAGGAGGGTGGGGAGGAACACGAGCTAAGGACGAGTTGTCCGAGTAAGCCATCTGCTCCTGGTGGCCGTGGCCAAACCGCTGAGTCCCATGAGCCAGTGCCTTTCCCTCCCCCAAAGAGGGAGCCCACCTCTTCCCACCTGGGTACCCCGGGGGCAAGCCTCAAAGGAGGCATCGTGGAGAGCCCAGAGGACACTCACATGCCTAGGGGTCCATTTTAAGCATCTTTTAAGATATTTTCTATAGAAAACAAATGCCCTTCCCTGTCTTCGTGCCACCAGTGGCCCAGTTCCATCCACTGAACGGAAAAGTGGAGACTGCCGTTACTTCCTTGGTTTTCCCTTCGTCCCCTTAGACGTGGTCGCCCCCCGCCCCTCCCGTCCATTTCACCGTCGTGGATGGAGAGCGGAGGACACCATGCGGTCTTGAGGCAGTCCTGTGTGAGTCCGTGATCACTTTTGTTGGTGTTTGTTTGTTTGGTTTTTTTTTTTTTTTTTGGTAACTGTCCTAAACCAGCAGGTGTTTGGAAATTAGGGAAAAATTAAATTCTCACCAATGGTTGCTGTTACAGTTAAATCAATAAAGATCTTGAGTATCAACTTGTGTTCTGATTTTCTTACATTTTGGGGGAAACCCTGTGGATTTCGCATGTGGAGGGTCTCGACCGGTGAGGTAAATCGGCAGAGCTGGTCAGCCACCTCGTGCGGTGGTTCTCAGCATTGGCAGAGCACTGGCTTTGTCCGTCTGGCCCAGAGATGCAGCGAGATGCCCTGTCCCTTCCCTCAGAAGCATGGTGGTGAGTGAACAGGTGCATGCGGGGGCCGGACACACCAGGTAGGCCCCTCTCTCCTCGGACCAGCCTCATGGAAGCCCAGACAGCGGCTTTCCCTTTTTCCGAAGAGGGCTGCCTGTGCCCCCAGGGGCACCTGTCAGAAATGCATCCCCTCGGAGGTCCTAAACTAGGCTGTGCTGCAGGAGCATCCAATTCCTTGCTATTATTAAACCAGTGAGTCCCACGTATTAATACCGCGAACAAGAATTCTGTCCCGTTGGAGATGCGAACAGAGGTCCGCAGAGTAAAAGTGGACTAGAGGAAACATTTTCCCGTCCACACAGCGGCGAGGTTTAGTTCTGAGGCTTCAGACTGAGCCAGCCTTGAAGTCCAGCCGAGCTGCTTAGAGGCCGCATTCCTTCTGCCAGGATTCTCTCAGGTAGGCGAGGGTTAAGAACTACCCCTTTCTGGGTGGCCGTGAGGCTCAAGGAAGGCTTTGCTTAATCTGGGGCCTGGCACATGAAGAGTTCGGGAAAGGGCTGGAGCACAGCCCAGTTGGCGTGGCGGCCAGAGGTCAGCCAGCTGGGCCTCCTTTGCCTTGGGAGTGAGCGAATTTGGGCGTGGAGCAGGCTGTGGGCTGCACCCACCACTCAGCCCTGGGACCTCTGGAAGGACTCTTTAGGGGAAGATGGGGCCAAACCCTTCTGCTAGCACTTCATACATCCTTTCCTCTGCACAGAGGCAGGTAGGATGCTAACTTCCAAGGCAACTTAGGAATGGGGTGGTGGTGGGGGGGGGGAGAAGGGGAGACAGGTGGAGGCAAACCCCCACAGTGGTGCTACTGGAGTCCCAACCGCCTCCCAACCCCGTTTCTGCTTCTCTCCTTCCAGTCTTTCCTTTTCTCCACTCCTATGTACCTCCAGGCCCACCCCCTGTCCCGGCCAAGGACAGTAAGGCATCCAATTGTCCCCACTCAGCTACCGGCCTGGCACGGCTCAGTACAGTAGACCTTTGCCTTGAGAGCACGTTAAAATAACCATTCTGTGAGAGCCCCATCTGGCCCCCAGGTTAGGGCAGGACTCCGTTCTCGGGGGCAGTATTTCCTCCACACACGGGGCGCAGGGTATGAAGCCATGTTGCCAGGCTTGGCCCCAAACGCCTCTGGCCCTGCAGCACGATGACCCACTGCCGACAGGCCCAGGACGGAGCTCTCAGCAGGGCTCAGCAAAACGAAGTTCCACTCCTTTGTGCCTGCCGGCCTCGTCAGTGAGGTTTGCTCTGAGTCAGTGGAGCTGCTGACTGTAAACTCTCCCACAGCCATGGCCGCAAGGAGCTTGAACTTTCGCTTTCCTGGCCCTCGCCATAGAAGAAATGTTGGGCACCTATTTAGTAAGGAGGACGCTCTCAAGCCCCAGGGTTGGGATTTTCACTTCCCAGAACCTCGGTGTGGTAGTGGGATTGGGTCCAAATGTTTGGTTCCAAAGGCTAGGCCTTGACCCCAAAGTAGGGGAGCAATTAAGCTGCTATTAAGGACAGTGCCCCTGGGGCTCCAGAGACCAGAGGCCGAGTTCTTGACTCCGCCCCTCCTAGCTGTGTGGTCAGGCCCCCGGGACGGGATAAAAAGCTGGCCTCATAGGGGTTCTGAATAGAGTCAGCTGCAGAACCCTATTGTGATTCGGGATTGCGGTGACCGCAGGTCTATTTCCACCCCAGGAAAGGAGCAGCTAGAGCGGCTTGGTTGCTGAATCAGGGCACTGAGGTTTCTCAAGCCCAGGCCTGGCTCTAGCCTCGCCAACCTTGGCCTAGGCCAGGATTACTACCTTGACTCAGCCAACGCTGTAATCGAGTCAGGAGGGGTTCCCACACGATGGGGCTCATTCTCCTAAGCCTGGAGCAGAAGTTGACCGGCTTCTTGGGGAAGCAGGGGTAGAACTACCATAGACTCGCATTCCCGCTAGATTGGCCCCCTCACCCCGCCAAACAGAAACAGCCCCTGTTCTGGCAATGCTCAATGAGGTCAGCTAAAAGAGAAACAGGATCACTGCCTTTGGGGTCTTTTCATCCAAAAGGCAAAGCTGTGCTCAGGTGCTTTGGGTAGAGCTTCCCACAAGAAAGGTGGGGTTCCTTCTGCTGGGCTGCTAGGTGGAACCCGAAATCAAGCCCGACTGTGAACCCTGACCAACAGAAGAGCAGGTAAAGGTTAGAGAGAGAGGGTACGGCAGGCCTGGGGCTCAGCAGGCTTCGTAAGCTGCAGAGGGAGATGGGGATAAGGCCCAGAGGACAGTCCGCGATGTAGGACCTGCTAACACACATGTTATAGCACTTCATAGGAGGAGGCTGAGCAAGGAATCACTCACCTGAGGCCACACAGCTTCTCAGTGGCCCGGGTGTGACCATAAGCCAGGTCTTAGGCCACCCTCGCCCCTGCTGGACGGGAAGCTCAGGGGCCTCATTAACAGCACACAATGAGAGACCGAGGTGAACTCTCACCAACTTTAATAGACTCGGATTGTGTGTGCCCACGCAGGCTGGCTGGGGGGTGCCTGAGGGCTCCACTCCTGGAGTCCAGCGTGGGCAGCTCTCTGGAGGAGTTTCTGCCTCTCCCTGCAAAGGCACCAGCTGGCCTAGGAGGACTTCACAATGGCTGTATTGTTTGTGCAACTCATTAGCAAAGACCCACCCCGGGGAGCCTCCAGACAAGGCCAGCGGATCGCCACTGGCCTGCCCGAAACAGGTGGGGGCTTCCCTAAACCAGCCGGAGGCAAGAGCCAACTGTTTCTCCTTTAACACAGTGAACTTCATCTTGGCAGGGGTGGGGGTGGTCAAAGACCACCTTTGAGAATACATAAAAGTTATCGGTAACCTGTCCTACCTCAAAGATAAATGCACGTACGCCCCAACTTTTGCATATCATTTCTGAGGGTTCATAGGTTAAGAAGTCAAGTAAAGAACCCTTGCCCTACTGCTTTTAGTCACCACTGTCTCTTCAGGAAAGAGAACAGCCGACCAGCCTGCCGCCCAGGCTTGCTCCTCTCTCTCTCCCAACAGACAGCAGCCTCTGTGTGAGCCTGACCCCACAGAGCCTTCCTTTACAGGGCAGGCAGCTCTTCCCCCTCTGGCAAAAAGAGCAACCTTCCCCCCTCTGTGTCTCCTCATTGCGTTAGATGGTTCTCGTGTCTTCTAGGACCTTTCAACTCCCAGGGAACAGGCAAATCCGGACCCCGCCAGGATCCCCTCAAAGGCACCCACATTCTTCCACAATCATGTCTTTATGATGGTCTAGCAGGACTCTGCCATTGTCCACGTACAGCATGCTCAGCGGCTTGGTCTTCACGGGGGCACAGCAGGTAGAAGGGACTCGGTGGGGCTGGTATCGCTTCAGCAGACTCTGGGGGAGAAAAGTCAGTTAAAATCAGTTTCTGGGTACAAAAGCAGAAGAAAATCGTTCTCATAAAGGAATCAGCCTGCCAATATACATCATCAACTCTTAACATGTAAAGTAACTTTACAGGCTGTTTAAAAAAAAAAGAGCTAAACAGGAGATTCTAAAAGCTGTATCTGGGTAGAGCAGTAGCAAACAGACATGTCCTCCTATTGTTTTAGTCTAGAGTGCATGCCAATTCCAAGAAACTCCTGGTTTCGTTCCAGAAACATGAAGCAGAAGAGAGTCATGAGGAAATCCTTGTGGGATTTGCTTTGTTGCCCAGAGAAGGGCATATAGAGTCAGTAGGAGAAAAGGTAACAATCCCTTGGCCCCCTGGAACTGGGCCCCGTCCCTGTGGTCCAGTGAGGTCTTTCTTTTTGGATCCGAGTGTCAGAGTTGCTATTGGGACTCTCTGGGTCACTGGGGGGTCCCCCTGATCATGCAGCAGGGAGGTTCATGGAGCAAAGTCCCAGGAGAGGCTCAGGCCTTTGCCTAGGAAAGGTCCTGCAGGGCTCTGGCCCCACCGGTGCTTCCCTTGTACGAGCTCAGCTCACATGCTCCCCAGAGCCTCTGAACCCCAATATCAGGGCCACCACGTTAGGCTCTATTCCACCACCTTCTAGAACTCAGGCCGATCAGTGGCACGGGGTGGTAGTCTTGGGCCCTCCCTACTGCAAAACGGTGTCCAACTCCTGTTTTAGGTGGCAAAAGTACAGTGGCTAGCACAGGACTACCCCAACCGTGGCCCCATAAATGTGGCCCCCATTCCACCGGTGAATCACAGACTTCTAGTAGTGATGACACATCATCCAACGTGCCGGTCACCAGCCAGCAGATACACACGCGGGGTACATCTCATCTCATTTAACCCTACAACATTGCTATGAACTATGGCATTGCCATCCCCCTTTCACAGGCGGGAAAGGTCAGGCTCAGACAGAGTAAGCAACTTGATCAACCTCACACAGCTAATATGTACGAATCAAAGCCAGGTTTATTCCCAGCGTCCAGATTCTGAACGTCCTTTCCTAGAATAGTCAGAGCTGGGGAGAAGCGGAGGCCTTCTAGGCTACACCCTCCACCCCTAATTTTATGAAAGACAAGGAAGAAGACCTAAGGAAGCAAGGTGTTCAAGGTTACCCAAGGGGGCGTGGCTGCATGTAGGCCCTCTGAGGATCGTGTCACAGGCCATCAGTCTCTCCCAGGATAGGAGCCGGCACACTGTTGGTGCCCGAATAACAGGGAACGAATGAACAGCAATTTACAAGCAAAGCCGGAGTCCTGTGCCCACCCCCCCCGATCGGGCAGTATGGCCCCCTCTCCCCCACAGCCCCCTGCCACCCCTCCCCTTGGCAGGGCTCCGCACCTGGATGTACGCGTGGTTGGTCGGATGGAACTCCTCCCCCACGGGGCTAGGACACTCGCCCTCGCAGCGATAGGCATTGTACTGCTTGGGGTAGATGATCCAGGAGCCCCATCCAATGAGGTTGAAATCCACTTGGAACTTGACCTTCCGACACAGCTGGCTTTTGTCCGGCAAGTGGTGTCGACGGTGCCGCCTGCCCCTCTCCTGGGACAGCTGTCCCTCCCGGGCCCGCCAGGAACTCTCGGCCTCCCACAGCAAGGTGGAGCCGCCCAGCTGCCTCCGCTCCGCGGACAGGTTGGAGTAGAGCATGAGGAGTGCACTGGCGACAGGCAGCGTGGGAGGCCGCTGCTGACACTCTCCAACCAAACCGGACATCTGCTCCTCCAGCTGTCCAGGGTGCTTCAGCCACTTGGAGAGTGGCCTGGTCACCTCCAGGACCATGCTGCCCGAGGAAAAAGTGACCTGGGACAGAGGGACAGCGAATAGGTCCATCCGAAGATGCTCCCGGCAGTCAGCTGGGTCCTGCTCCGCATCCGGCTTTAGCTGGTGGAGAATCTCGACGGAGAGTGGCACGCCAGGGGGCAGGTCCACAGGGCTGGACAGCTGCAGCCGGAGCTCAGCCCACACCAGATCCTCCACTTGGCTCAGGAAGGAGAAGTCAAAAGCAAACGTCCAGTTCTGCCCGTCCACCTCCACATCTGGGTGGGGAAAAACGGGGAAGGAAGCAGAGTGAGTGGGGGCCCCCTGCAGCCTCATCGCTGTAACAACCACCAGAGCTCGTGTTGGAGCCTTAACCTGATAGGAATCCTCTCGGTGCTCTCAGCCCAGCCCCTAGGCGTTGGGAACGTGGAGTCCACTTTAGTCCGATTCAAATCACAGCCCTGAGAGGTTAAATCACCCGCACAAGGTGGCAGAGCTAAGAATGAACCTGGATTTGCCCAACCGCAAAGCCCAAACTCCAAATCACGTCACCGTTCTGCGGCTCCCTCCAAGACACCCGAGAGCTGGAGAACAACTGGTAGAAACTGGATGAGTTCTCCCTGCTCTCTGGCCAAACCCTGAGCTCTCCGACCTAAACCCTCAGCCTCCACCGACCCTGTGACCCTGAGCAAGTCACCTTCCCAGACTCCGCCTTCTCATTGGAAAGGGTGGCCTATTTCGTGGGCACATTGAGGTTGATACGCGTATCATGGAAAGGCAAGGCTCGGTGGCCTCAGGGGGACACAGGCAGCAGAATCCCAAGACTGGCCACCCGATGCTCCGCCCACTCCTAAGTTTCTGCAGAGGCAGAAACTTCAGGAGTTCTTGACAACCTGACGCATAGGCTTCTACAAGCATTCTAAGCATGACTTTGCGCTGACCGGGCAGTTTTCCACCCCGTGGGCTTTCTCATCTACCTGCAGGGTGCTTATCACCCCCCCCCCCCCCCCCCGCCAGGGGCATTCCCACACCTAGGGCAGACACGGCAGCACACACACAGCCCCTGGCCCTGTTCTACCCCCCCTTCCCAAGACAACTCAACCCAAACTGGATGACAAGGAATGGGGAAGCACATTCCATTCATTTTAGTCCTGGACTAATTTGGTCCGATGTCTGGGAACAGCATGTTTTTGTGGATTTTCAGGTCACCTAAAAGTGACCTTTAACTTTTTTCAAGCCCAGTTTCCTTTTCTTTGCAATGGGAACGGTCATGCCCTACCCATCCCTGCATCCTCACCAGTCCTCATGGAAATAAAGAGGCTTGTCGCTAAATCAAAGTCAGGGATCATCCCTTAGGAAAAAACACTAACCCTTTCGTGAATCGAGCTCAAGGGTGGTGATGGTCTCCGATTTAGGTCTACTCTGGGCAGACCACTAACAGTTTCCTTTTTTTTTTTTTTTTTTTAAGGGTCTCATAGAGCATCTTTGGTCAGATGGTAAGTGAATTTCTCTGAGAAATCCAAACTGCATTACAAGGAGGCCGTCCCAGCTTCAGCCTCCTGGCAGCTTCTCCCAGCCCACCTTCAGCTGCTCTTCTTCATTTCCACTTCCCTCCTCATTAGCACCTGCAGGGGGCAATAACCGGCTCCTGGCTAGCAACTCTCCCCGGAGGTGTGGGGAGGAGGCAGGCATTCCCCCTTGGCCACCACAGCACCCCCTAGCCACCTGGGGATTAGGTGGGACCTGCAGCAACTCCTGGCCACCTGCACCAGGAATTAAAGACTTTTTATCACAAGTAGCCACAAATGGCCTTTTAGAAGAAGACATTCCAGCCCAGCAGGTTAAGAGCAGAACGCTCCGGTGCGTTCTGTGAGGCTTCAAATTCTGCCACTCGCTGTTGAACATTGGGCAGATTACTTTCCTTCTCTGGGCCTCAGCTTCCCTCTTGGTAAAAGGAAGATAGTGACAGTATCCACCTCGTGGGAGTGTTAGGATTTACTTAGATAACGTGCGTACAGCGTTTTGCCCAGCAGAGCCAAGGTACAGCAAATGTTGGCTGTCGTCAACCACTTCCTTATTATTGCCGATGGCCAAGGTTAGAAATGAAGGTGTCCAGATAGGTAGTGAGGGACCTGGACATAGAAGCAAAATCATCTGGGTGCCTGGGTGGCTCAGTTGGTTAGGCGACTGCCTTCGGCTCAGGTCATGATCCTGGAGTCCCTGGATCGAGTCCCCGCATCGGGCTCCCTGCTGAGTTGGGAGTCTGCTTCTCCCTCTGACCCTCCCCCCTCTCATGCTCTCTCTATCTCATTCTCTCTCTCAAATAAATAAATAAATAAATAAGATATTAAAAAAAAAAAGAAGCAAAGTCATCTGTTCCCAGAATGGACAATGTGTATGGAGTGCACCTGCCCCGGGTGAGGAAGAGTCTTTGACTCCATGACCCCCACCCCTGGCCAAGGGCTCCCTGGGAAACAGCGCTGATAGGTTCTCTTAGAGCTGGCTCTGGTTCTTGTTAGGACAGGGGTGCCTAATCTTCTGGGGCTCACGGATGCCTGATACAAGCTAAGAATGCTCCCACCTGTACAACAAATGTGACTTGGGGTAAATATCTGGAGAGGGTTCATGGACCCTGAAACCGATCCAAGCCCTGGACAGAGTTGACCCACAGGCCCCAGTGTGATCTTGACCCACGTCTAGTTCTAAAGAAGAAAGTGGGGGCACCTGGGTGGCTCAGTCGGCTGAGCATCTGCCTTCAGCTCGGGTCATGATCCCAGCATCCTGAGGTCGAGTCCCACGTGGGGCTCCCTACTTGGCGGGGAGTCTGCGTCTCCCTCTCCCTCTGCTCATGCTCTCTCTCACTCTCTCTCAAACGAATAAATAAAATCTTTAAAAAAATAAAGAAGAAAGTGGGTGGGCCCATGCCTTTGGGTTCTCTCCCCTCAGACAGAGTGCTGAGGCTGAGTTAGGACTTGGGGCTCTAGAGGAAAGGAGGGTGTAGGTATGACATTAAGCATCCACTCTGCATTGTTATAAACTCGGAGGATAATCGCCACTATCTGCTTCCCGAGCAGAGCCTGGTCTCCTTCAATCCTTACCACTATTACAGGTGAGAAAACCGAGGGTGTTTCAAGAGGGCCAGAGGCAGATGCAAACCCACTTTGGTTAGACTCCAACACCCACTTCCCTCTTTCCTGGGGTGGCTTACAGATAAACCCGAGGGAAAGGAGTGTTTAGAACATTCCTTCTCCATCAGTGTCCCTCCAGGCAGGCTCTTCTTGCTGCTTTTAAAAAAAATGAAGCCAATTCACAACACTGAAAGTACTTAATGCCACCGTACACTTAAAAAGAGGTAAAATGTTCGATTTTGTCATGTATATTTTACCGCGTGTACACACCAATGAGGCAGAAACCAGTCCCCTGCTTTACAGAAGGGGAAACTAGAGAACTCAACGGACATGCAAGGGACCCACTCGGAATTGGGAAGCAGGCTTTGAGGGACCAGGACTCAGTGTTCCAGTCTCCCGGGCTGTCAAACCCCCACGAACCTTCTGAAACTCTCCAGAAGGACGAGTGAACTGAAAAAGGGCACCCAGCACCCCTTTGCCCAGCCTCCTCCCGGCACCCAGCTGTCTGGTAGAGGGACTGAGCAGAGCACTCCAGTCATTTCCAAGCCGGCTCACTCCTCCAGTGTCCCTAGTCTGCCTGGTCTCCAGATGACCCTTCGGGAGAGGGTCATCAGCTGTCTGACCCCAGACGTGGCTGGCCAGGGAGCTAGGAGCCCCCACCCCCAGACCACAAGGAGCTGGCGGGTGGCCAATTAGATCAGATTATCGGATGTGGATTGCGCCCCAGCGAGGGGGAGGGCCGTCTGGCCCCAGCTGGCGGAGGGAGGCGCAGGCCGAGCAGGGCGGCAGGGGTCTGCCCCCGACCCCAGGCGTCAGGATGTGGATTGCAAGGGGCAGGGGACGCGGAGGGACGGCTCCCTCTGCTCCGCACACACCTGCCCGGCCGGCCCGACGCCCAGAACGCCCTGCCCTGTTTCCGAGGGTGATCCTCCCCAGTCACCATGGTCGCTGAGTGCTTCCCCCATCCACGTCTAGGCTCCGAACCCGAATCACTCGGGACCCTGACCCCTTCCCAGCCTGGACTCGAGTTCCCAAGCCTGCCTCAGTTCCCGACTCTGGGGCACCCCATCTCTAGTCCCGGATCTCTGAACTCTAATCCCTGAGGTTACATGCACCGTGCTGGGTTTCGAAGCTCGCAGTCAGCCGGAGACCCTCCCGGCGCCAGGCAGCACCCATTCACTCTCACGCGGGAAAAGAAAAGAAATCCACAAAATGTATGTAGCAATACTAACGACCATTTATTACTATGCCCGGTTTCGTGCTAAGCGTCGAATGTGCTTCGTCACCTAGCTCTCGCCACCGTCTTCTAAGGGAGGTACAGTTGTCCCCATTGCAGGGAAGCGCACACCGAGGCGCCGCGAGCTTACCTAATTTAACAAGTCGGCTCGGTCCAGTGGCGCAGTCGGCCTCCCACCCTCCAGCACCGCGCGCTGCCCACCCTGAAGCAAGATGCGGGTCGCAAAGTTCTCCGCCCTGGGCCCCTCCCGATGCCACCATCCCCTCCACCCGCCGACCCCGCGCGCCCAGCCGGTGCCGACGCCGAGCCACCCCGGACCCGGACCCCGGACGCGCGCTCCCAGCCCGGTGCGCCCTCGGCCCCGGGCCGCCCACCCGCAGCCCGCCCCGGCGCCCTTCCCGAGTCCCGAGGCGCCCCGGCTGGGAGCCTGCCTACCTTGCGCCTGCAGGCTGCGGATGATGTCCGCCCGGGGCAGCGGGTCCCGGTAGAGGCTCAGCATGTACGCGAGAGGGGACGGCGACGAGGGCTGCACCCGCGTTCGGAGCGGCACCGGGGCCACCGTGGCGGCGCCCGCCTGGCGCAGGACCCACCAGGCGTGCAGGAGGAACAAGGGCAGCTGGGGGGCGAGCATGGTGGGCTGGCTGGGCCTGCGAGCGCCGCCTCCGCCCCTTATATCCTGGGCCTTCGCTGCTGCCCCGCCTCTTTCCTCCTTCCCTGGGGAAAGCCTTGAGCTCCTATACCTGCCCCCACCCTAGGGGGTGGGTGGAGGTGGCCCCCAGAGGGACCACCTGCTGGGGCGGGGCAGCCCCCGAGCCTGGTAGGGAGGAGACCGGCCAAGCTGGCTGCGCTGTTAGGTCGGGGACCGCCCTGTTGGCCCTGTCCGGGCACCCTGGCACGTGGCTACTATAGATAGGAAGGGCCTTGTTTCTGAGGCACAGCAAGCGTGTCACCGGCAACTCTGGGGTCAGAATTGTGGCTTCCTTGCTCTGCCTTACCTCGGATCCCTGCCCCTTCCTGTGTCTCCAGGCTCCAAATAGATGTCTGGCTCAACAGGACCAGATAGGGAGCAGGGGTGGGCCCTGGAGGCTCACCCCACACTGGCCTGCGAGGCCCCCACCCAGTCCGGCCAGGTGCAGCCTTCCAGGACACCGCCCCGATGGCCTCCAGGAGCACTCCTGGCCGTATCCGGCAAGGCCTGTCCGGAGGGCTAGCTCTGGGGAACGACTGGGCACTGGGAGTTGCTGGCTCAAGGAAGATGAGCTCCAGAGGAAGGCCCACAGGGACCAGCTTCAGAGAGGGATGGAAGGGCTCTCCTGGAGAAGACAAAGGGCAGGAGCGACCAGGGCGAAGGATGGACTTCTCCATCAGAAAAGGGAGGTGTTTGGCAGAAGCTGGAGCCTGGGGCATAGCTAACGGGGGGACCCCGGCCTCACGTCAGTGAAGCACCTGTGGTGGCATCAGAAGCTTCCCTTCACAGGCACCCATCCACCCCCCCAGGGATTTCAGGAGAAAAGGGTCTCCTGTGGTGTCCGTGCCTAGCAGGAAAGCTGGGTTTCAGCTCAGCGCTCTCTCCTTTCCCTTTCTCAGAGCCCTGCACGGAATTGGCCCTTGTCTGGCCTCCCTGCGTGGTGCAGTCAGGTCAGAGCTGGAATTACCTTTAAAGAAATAGAAATCCCTGCCCCTTCTCAGGCCCCAACTGTTTTCCCTCGACCCAGAAGGGCTCCTCCTCCCCGTTTCCTTTCTCACTTTACCAGGCACGTGAGCTGCTGGTTGGCATTTACTGAAATGCTGTGTGCCCTGCCCGCCTCAGCAACTTCCACAGGGTGCTCCAGGTCCACAGGACCACAGACTCAGCCCAGAGCAGGTGGAGACAGTGGAAGGAGGCCCAACAGGCTCAGTCAGGAGCTCTGACTTGGTGGGGGTGGGGGGGGAAGGTGGGGGTGGAGAAGGCCCACATCCAGCCCACACCCAGCAGGAAGGGGCCTCGCCTAGGAGAGACCTGGGCTGCAGTCGGCCATGACACCTGGACAATCTGCTCAGCCGGCAGATGGTTAGTTCCTTAAAGTGGGGACTGCCTTGTTCATCGTGTTTTCCCCACAGTACACATTTGAGTTTGGACCCAAAAAATTTTCGCTAAGTGAATAAATCAGTGAATGGCACTGTGTCTGGACTTGCTGGGAGATAAGTATCACCTTGGGTGTTTGTTAAACTATTGATTCCTGAGTCCCAATCCAGACCTGTAGACTTAGAATTTGGAGAGAGGGCTTGGTTATCCACATATTTAACAAGCACCCCGTGGTCCTTACCAGACAACTTTGAGAACCTGGGAGGGGCTGGGGTTCTAGTCACAGTTTGGAACCCACTGCTCTGCATTCAGTTTCCTCATCGGAGGTCCCTCCTTCCATACAGAATAAATGAAGTGAATGGTAAAGTGCTTCGCAAGCTCTAAAACCTGGGGTATATGTAAAGCTTTCTGCACATGAATATTGTGGGTGCTCCATAGTTGTCATTCAGCTTCCCCAGCCTGGGGGCTTGCTGGTTCGGGATGGTCAGCCCCAGCCCTCTGCATCAGACCCTTCCCCAGAGGCAGAGGGCACCCTCACCCAGGTTATGAGTATATAAATAAAAAACTGACAGGTTGCGGTTCGTGCAGTGGGAGCCCTGACAAGGACATGGGAACCAAGAATGGCAACACGGGGAGGGGCATATAGCTAGACAGAGGCACAGGAGTCAGTCTCCCCCAAACCCGGATCTGCCCAAGTCCCACGTGACCTAGAATCCCGGTGGTCCCCGTGGAAACAGGGACATTCAGCACAGAACAGTCTTACCCACCAGGATGGGGAGAGGAAAAACAAAGATATATCTACTTCTCCTAGTGGACCAGAATCTTCTTGAAATTAAGGATAAAATTTTATTCATCCTGTGTCCCTTGCACTATGGCACCTAGAAGGTGCTTAATCGATGTTTTAGCTAACATGAATGGTTATGACAATAGCTAACATTTCATGAGTCCTTCCTGCAGTTGGCACTCTGCTAATCATTGCAGTGATTTTATCATCACGCCCACTTCAGAGATGAGAAAACAGAGGCTCAGAAGAAACAAGGTGATTTGCTCAAGGCCACAGATTTACAGGTGGGAACAGCCAGGATGTGATGGGCAGGTGTGCTTGTGACCCAAGGCGGTGCTTTGAGCCCTGTTGCTTCCCCACAGATGAAAGGGTGAACGTGTGCCTTGTACTAAGACTTAGAAACTCTCAAAGTCTTGCCTCTCCCAGGGTCTGGGAGCTGCAGACAGAGCTCATTTCTGATGTGTATTGGTCCAGAACCAAGTAGGGGCCTGGAAGTGCTCTCCGACCAGCAAGAGCGACCGTCAAAGCCCATCCATCACTGACCTTTCTGCAGCTCCGGCACCTAGAAGAAATCGAATCTCTGTCACCTCTGCAGGACAAAGGCTCATTGTCCTCCTGCTCTTTTTTTGAGGGTAGTTGTTCGCCCAGGATCTGTTTCCTGCAAGAAGGACCATAAGTTTCCTCTTCCCAGGTGGGGAATGACACCTTCTCGCTTCCCCTGCCCCAGACGGACTGACCAACAGATTACCTGACCTGGGAGATAACCTTTCAAGGCCATCCCCGCTGGCTGGAGGGTGGGGAGCAAAGTCCCTCAAAGTTCTTGAATGCTTCCCATCAGACCGTCCCAGACCCTCCCTTGACATGAGCAGCGGCATGTGGCCTGGTTAAATGCTGGAGCCATGAGGCCATGCTGCCAGGAGGTAGGGTCAGGGTCCTTCTCTGTCACTACCTGGGCACATTACACCAGCCACCTAACCATCTTGAAACTTCTGCTTCCTCAGCCGTAAAATGAAGGTAAAGGATAGTATCTCTGTGACAGGAATGTTGTAAGTAGGAAGTATGTGTAAAGCGCACAGTGCACATAGCATCTGGCCAGTTGTGTATTCACTCATTGAACAGACCTGCCTTTCTAATGCATCTACAGCAGGTTAACAGCAAGAGCTAGATTCTCTGGGGGCAAGGCAGGAAGGCAGCTCAGTTTGGCCCATATTTAATGAGCATCTCCTATATGCCAGTGTAACCTAGGCGGTCTTCACTTTTCCAGCGTGCCTCTGTGCTCCTTCTTCTGCGGGCATGTTTCCATTGTATCCGCTCCCCCCCCCGACCCGCCCCGGGAACTCCTACTCAACTATCGAGACACAGCTTAAAAGACCTATCACTAGCTCCCCAACAATTTGGAAGTACAGCATGATAAAGCCACTGTCCAAACCGTCTTCAGTGGCCACCACTGGACTGTGAGCTCCCAAGAAGCAGGGATGGCTCCTGATTCATTTTTCCTGAAGCCCCAGGAGTTCATAACTGCTGGTTATAACTGACTGGTTCATAACTGGTTCCTACTGACTATTGCTTCAATTTAGATGAATGAATCCAGTCCTAGAAATGGTAGAGGGGCGCCTGGGTGGCTCAGTCAGTGAAATAGCTGCCTTTGGCTCAGGTCATGATCCCAGGGTCCTGGGATCGAGTCCCACATCAGGCTCCCTGCTCAGCGGGGAGTCTGCTTCTCCCTCCCCCTGGCTTGTGCTCTCTCATGCTCTCTCTCAAATGAATAAATAACATCATTAAAAAAAAAAAAAAGAAATTTCAGAGGTGGCTCTAAGCACAGGCTTCTGGCTTCTGCCTTCAGTATTTGTCCACCCTTTCTGTTACCAGACCCTGCTGATCTTGGAGGCCAACACCCAGAGCTGAGAGGTACCACCTAGGCACCTCTGCCAGGCCCATGTGGCTCCCTGTGATCTGGAGAGAGAGAGACCCAGCCCTCCCCGCTACAAAGCCCTTGTACTCCAAATGTCCTCCAGCCCCATGGAAACACCTGCACTTCCCCCAAAGTTCAAAGCCATTCTTCCTCTGTCCGGGACAATTTGGCCCCCTCTGCATTCACACAAGGCACTCCTATTTATTCCTGTGTCCAGCTGGAGAGAGTTCCAAGCCCTCTGCTGAGCACTCTGAAGAATGCAGAGCAAGGCTGGTGGCAGGCTCGCTGGTGGAAACCTCCTGAGGGCTTGACGACCTGAACCCTCAACAAAGAGTGACTTGGTCTCTCTCCCCGTGTAGACTCTGAACCAAGCCGCTCTTTGTTGAGGGTTCAGGT